AAAAAAAAACACTGATTGCTACCGTTTGCATTCATCTCTTTGTAAAGCCTACCTGGCCCTCTGGGTTCAGGTGATGCTGAATCCATGTCACTCCTGCATACGCTTTGCTTGCTGAGCCCAGTCCTTGCTCCTCTGTATCTTCTGATCTTTCTGCTAGACATGACTTTCAGTTTTTGCCCTCCTGTATCTCTGACTTCTTTGGCCTAGACTTGACTTTGCCCTTGGCAATCTTATTCTACCATTCTGGCTCTCTTATTTTCTGAGTTCCAGAAAGTAACTTGCATTGGTTCCAGGCCCTTAATGTTAGTGTTCTGCAAGACTGACTTTTCATCCACCTTTTTGTCTCTTTCCACATACTCTTTCATTTACTGATCTTACCTAGACACTGACTCCTCTGATCACCAATTTATCAATACCTCCCAGGCTTATTTCATAAGAACTAGAGTTTGTGCATGAACTGCCAGCTCCCTGTTACCAGTGGGCATCTCTAACTGAACATGTCCTCTCTCTGCATCCTGCTCCATCACAACCTCCAAGCCCACACCTGTTTGATCACCTAATTCTTTCTTGTTAAATTAGAAAACCAAATTTTAAAGTCATTTTTTACAAATTTCTACTTACATCCTTTGTATCTCACTGCTTTGAAATGCTCTATAAACCTTATTTTAAAGGCAAGAGCTATGTTCTTGGGAGATCAAAAGCCAAGAATTTTCTTTTTTGTTTTTTCATATTTCAGCTATACTTTTCCTTTTCCAGGCACATGGAAGGCTAGGGTTGCTTGCTTTTGTTTTTGAGGAGGATGAATATATGTGACATACTTACATGGACTGTACAACTTACTGCTTTATGGAACTCATATAGTTGAGATTGTACACATCAAATATCATGTGATACAACTCCAGTGGAATTGCCAAGGCCCAATATCCCTCATTGCCTCTATCCTGGATCAGGCCTTAGTGTCTCCAGCTATCCCACTGCAATAACTCAACTTCCCAAAACAATCTCTTTCATTTTTCATATTTAGTCTCTTTTCTTTAAGCTCCCAATACATTGTAGCTTTTACTGCGTCAGTCCTTCCTAAAGAAAACAATTCTAAATGCTGACTTAGATAAAAACTTCTTACTGGCATTGGAGAGTAAGTGAAGCAGACAGATATTAGATATGGAAAGAAGGAAATGGTACTGAGCAAATTTCTCAATTTTTAATTGAAAAGACAGTACTTCATTTTAACCTTATGGGTCACTAAAACCTAGATAGAAACCTGTGATCTTACTGACTTGAATATCTAAAAGGCTGAGGTCAAGGCAATCATAGTAGATGGAAAGTGAGGGGGAAAACCACAGATAGGAGAAGGTCACAGAGTTCTAAATTCTGTGTATAAACTTTGCCTAAATACCTACAACATGAGCAAATAATAGAGACTTCAAACAGTCTAAGCAAAGTTGAAAGAACTGAACATAGATTTCAGAACTTGGAGTTTAGCCAAATTAACTCCCTGCTAAAACAAACAACAAACAGGTAAATACTCTTTGGAGGAATGTAACAGTATCCAGAGTTCCTTCAATGTATCATTCACAGTGTTAGGATACATTCCAAAACTGTCAGTTGTAAAAGATGATTCATTCTCAGAGAAAAAACAATGTTGACCTCTCCTACGAGGACCAAAGTGTTGGAATAATCTCACAGTCACTCAAAGCAGTTAGTTTAACTATGCTGTAGTAAGTGAGCATTCTTACTCACTTCTGAGAATGTACTCAGAAGGAAAGAGTGACTAGGAAATCTCTGTGTAATATGGACATTAGAACATGGAAACTTAAGAATCCAAAAATACAATGTCTGAAATTAAAAACCCACTGAACTGTCTAAAAAAATAGATTGGAGATAACAGAAGAAGCAGAGAACTTGAAAACAAATCAACAGGCTATAGAAAATTAGATCATGGTGATAGTTTCACAGTTTTTAACATATACTAAAAACCACTAAATTGTACACTTTAAAGGGGAGAATTTTATAGTGTGTGAATTATATATCAATAAAAATGGGGGAAGTGTACTGTGAGAAAGCTGTCACAGAGATGTACTTTAAATATAAATACATACAGATAAGAAAATAGATGTAAAAAGAAATGGATAGAAAAAGATAAACTATGTAAACTGTAAGTATTAGAAAACTGGAGTCACTGTATTAACAAAAGATAACATAGACTTTAAAGAATATTAGCAGAGATAAAAAACATTACATTATAATAAAAGGGTGGTTTTTCAGGAGACTATGACAATTGTAAAAATGATAACTTTCAAACAAGCACAGAAGGGAAACCCACAGTTCTAGTTGGAGGCTGTTATATTCTTAGCAATGAAGAGAATAGACCTCCAAATCAGGAAAGATGCAGGAGATCTGAACACTACCACTAACTGCTATAGAGCACTCTACTAAGAAATTACAAGTCACATGTTCTTTTCAAGTGCACATAGAACATTCACCAAAATAGGGCATAAAATAGTCTTCTTACCTGCAGAAGACATCATAGAATATGTCCTCTGGCTACATTGAACTTTAAATTTTGACTTAATTCACAATTCCAGTTTATAAATGGTTTTAAATCAGAACTCAATAGCAATATGTCAGTAAAACTCCAAACACCAAAAAAAAAAAAAAAAAAAAAGAGATAAGGACTCTCCCTGTTTGATGATCTATAACTGCTCTTGACTACTAAAATAAAGATTCCTTCATCTACCACCTCAGACCTCCACGGCATGGACCCCTGGTTTTCTCAGGCACAGATTTAATTAATAGGGAAATAGGTTTCTCGGATAGGGAAGGGCCAGGAGGGAAGATACATTTACCATTTGGGTGGTGTCTTTGCTCTGCAGCCTTAAGCGGTAGGACAGTTCTGGGAAGATGTCCTCCAGGGTTAACTGGTGGCCATCTATTGCTTGGATGGGTGTGGGGGAGCGATGAACAATCATCTGGATGGACCTCATCTTGGGGATACAGGTTACATCAGGTGGTTTGATGGCCGCTGGAAAAAAGTAAGAGAGGAAAAGGAAAGAAAAAGTTGAATCACTTCAAGCAGGTGCCCATGTTGAGGTGTGAATCTGTACTCTCAAACATAACAAGTGGCAAATCAATAAAACCTTGAAGAAAAAAGGAAAAAAAATCAGAATCAGTCTTAGTGTCAGCCTTGCGCCAGGGCTAGGACCATTTCTGTCCCTCCCACGCCAACCCCAGCTCTTCTGAAAGTATCAAACAAGGAGGAGAGAAGAGAAAGACTGCACTAGTTGGTGTTTCGGTTTAAGGCTGGCACAGGGGTGACCTGGAGTGAGTGGGAAGAGCCCCGGGAGAAGCACCCTGGGCTTGGCCCCTGGGTTGACCATGCCCTTGTCCCAGCCAGAGTAGCTTTCTTTCTAGTCTTTTCTTTCTTTTTTAGAGATTTATTTATTTATGCATACAGAATTGGAGTATAGGCCAGAGGTGCAGGGGCGGTGAGAGGATTCACTAGAGATGGAGCGGGGAGCAGAACAGGCAGAATGATGAAGTACACTGCTGAGGGGAGCAGCGGGCAAGCCAGGAGAGGTCTGCTGCGTCACATGGGCCAGCTCCCTGGCCACGATCAAATCATGCTGAAGCAACTGCAGACAGCTTCATAGTGCTGCGCTTTAACCTGTTGCACCACCAGGGAAGGTCTGCTTTTTCCTAGCCTATTGGCAATGACTTTTGGGGGTCTGGAGATCCTAATGTTGGAGACACCCAATATTGCCTCAGCATCAAATCCTAAATAACATTTATTGGTTTATAGACCCCTGTGGGTCTCCCCCAAAGTGCTCATATCCAATTTCTTACTCCCAAACTCAGGGATTCATGAACCCCACTGTCCCTAAGCTAATTTATAAAATCCCTGAAATGTTCACTGACCTATAATAGCAAAAAGTTTTGAGATGGGTAAGTGTTCAATACTATAAAACTGAAAAACTGAGTGAAATGTTCTCATAAAAGGGAATTAGGGAAGTAAATTAGACTCTGTAGACTGGATTATTTTGCAGCTATGAAATATCGCATGAAAAAATAGTTAATAAAGTTACTGACATGAGCAAATGTTCATGATACCATTATATGAAACAAACAAAACCCACCTAGATCACAGGACAGATTCAGTGGATGACATTGACTACCATCATGTTCAAATGTTCGTGTTATTTGGGGCTACTGTTATTTTTCTTTGTGTAGTTGTGTGTTTTACAAGTTTTTTATAATGAACAATTATTGGTAGTTAAGTAAGGCAAGAAAAAAATAATCTGTTATTTTTTTTGTTTGTTTAAAAAAAACACGTTAAGTCAGTTGGTGAACATTGCATCTGCTTAACTGCCATGGGGAGTTGGCAGGTCATATTCACTTCATTCATTCATTCATTCACTCACTCATTCACTCATTCATCAGTTTCATATTGAACATCCCCGAGGTGCCAGACACTGTGTAGCGAACACAATGGATTCCACACCCACACAGTTCACATTTCACTGGGGGAAAGGGGAACAGGCCCGTAAGCAAACACAGTAATTGCAGATTGTGACATGAGCAGTGAAGACAAGGAACAATTTATTATGATATTATTATCTGTTTAGCATAACAGATGGTGACCTGGTGAAATCAGCTTGTCAGAGCTGTGAGCAGAGATGCCACATGACTTTGAAACTGAGACCAGGATGAAGGACTGGGAAAGAGCCAGTGACAGCGAGAACCAGGAAGACCCCCAGGAGGACCCCCAGATTAGGGCAGCAGCAAGGGCTCTGGACTGGAAAGTGCCAGAAGCTGGGGCCATGCAGCGGGAGAGGGTTTGCTCTGAGGACCAGACAGACAGGGGTGGTAGTAGGATCTTACTTGGAGAGTTGTGGGAAGCCACTGAGGGTTTTAAGCAGGGGGTGAAGAGGCGAGATGGAGGCTTTGAGACGGTGCCTCGGCATTCGGCCTGGAGAATGGGCTGGGGGAAGTTAGCGGCCCTGGTGGGGTGGAGGGGTAAGATGATGGAGGGCTTGGCAGGTGTGTGTGGGGGGTGGAGATGGGGTAAGTGGGAAAGCCTCCTGGGGGTGTCGTCCCTCCTCACCACATCCCTCCGTGTCGCCCTGCGTCCTCTGGGTCCCCCTCCCCCTCTCCCTGCCACGAGAGGGGCTCCCACATACCGTGATACTTTACGCAGAACCGTTCCGACATCTGGGTGGCGGACTGGCCTCCAGCGCTGGTGGCGGTCACCCTGGCATAGTAGACCTCCCCAGAGTTGGTGGTTTCCATGGTCAAGTTGCAGAATTTGTGGGTGATCTGCTGGCAGTCCTTCTTTGCCAGCCAGTCTTTCTCTCCATACCTACAGGCGAGGCAGAAAACGGGCTGTAAGGAACAGCAGGGCAGCAGGCCTGCGGCTTGTTGATGACCACAGCTGACATTTATTCAGCACATTGTGTTGCAGGCTTTTATGCAGAGGCTCTGTTCCTCCTCACAGTGAGCCTGTGGTCTCACACACTAGTCTCCCTCCTTTTCATATGAGGAAGCTGAGTCTTAAAGAGGTAATGACCGAGGTGTTTGAAGCATGCATCTGGGGAGCCAGGATCAGAACCCAGTTTCTCCAAGTCCACGTTTTGGGTTCATTGCAACCTTTTGAGGCAGACACTGTTACCCCCACTTTACAGATGAGAAATTGAGATTCAAAGAGAAGTGTCTTGCTCAGGACAATGTGGCAGGATCCAGAAGGGGACCCAGCTTTGCAGCACCTTGAGTCCATGGCAACCCTCCTCCCCTGCTGGGGAAGGGGAACAGGCAGGATGGGGGGGCAGAATGAGCTGGAGGTGTGGACAAAAATTCTTTTTGACCTAGCCTCACCAGGGGCAGGGGGTGGCGGATGTGGGAACTTCTAGAAGGGGAGATTTTCTTGGCAGGACTGGTTTTGGAGCAGAGTCAGAGGGATCCCATTGGGAGGGAACTCACGTCTTATACTCGACACTGTAGACGGTGTCTGGGGCAGCCCGTGGCCCACTGTCCCATGTCAGGATGTTCTCTAAGTTTCTGGACTGGAATCTCACATGCTGAAGAATATCCGAGGTGTTCTCAGGCATGTGAGCTGCAGAATGGGGGAACAGAATGACCAGATGGGTTTGAAAACCCCACTCCCTCATTTTCTAACCAACTGTACAACAAACAGGTGAGAGCTGGCACCCACTTGCCAGAAACTGTGACCTCCACTGCTCTCCATCACTGGCTTTCCTTTCTTTCCATTGATAATAATTCTCATTCCATAAAACCCACCATTTTATAGCAGACATTTCAGTGGTTTCTTAGTTTCGCAAACTTGTGCAACAACTATTGTGATCTAATTCCAGAACATTTTCATCTCTCTGAAAAAGAAACCCCATGTCCATTAGGAGTCACTCACCATTGGTCCCCTCCCCTCCCCATGGATCTGCTGTCTGTCTCTATGGACTTGTTTATTTGAACTTTTCCATAGAACAAGAGTCATCCAACCCGTGGCTTTTTGTGTTTGACTTCCTTCACCTAGCCTGATGTTCTTATGATTCATTCATATTTTAGCAGGAATTAGAACGTATTTCCTTTTCATGGCTGAATAATATTCCACCATGTCGCTATAACACAATTGTTTATTTTCACATCATTAATGGGCATTTGGGTTGTTTCCATTTTATGAGTTACTCTAATAAGGCTGCTGTGAGCATTTGTGTATGGAAAGTGTACCAGCTATACAACTCCTTAGGTTGATATCAAGGAGTGGAAGAGCTGGGTTATATGGTGACTTGAGGCTCTAACTTTTTGAGGGAATACCGAGCTTTTCCCAAAGTGACTGCACCATCCTACATATCCACCCACATTGTTTGAGGGGTCAGTTGATCCCTGTCCTTGCCAACAGTTTGTTGTTATCTCCCACTCACCTCTTAACACTGTCTAACTTTAGTGTCTTCACCAGTTCCATATTTTTGAGATAGTCAACTAAATGTTGAATAGCAACTAGAATGTCTAAGAATTCACTTTCCCAAAGTCACACATTTCAAACAAGGGTGAAGAGATGTGAATTCTGCCTCTCTTCTGGCCAGACCCACTCTGGCCCCTACCCTCCACAGGTTGGTAAAGGTGACCATGGGCACACACGGGCAGGGTAGCTCCACTGTTGAACCAATTAGCACCACCATATTTTCATCTCTAATATGGGAGTTCTCTGAAATGCTCTGTTGAGGGAGCATCAGGCATGTCAGGAGAGGTCTGCCGTGTCAAGTTGTGAATCTAAGTCTTCCTGGCCAGGGGTAGAGCTGCTGCAGTGGCGGGTGATAGCTTGATAGCACTGAGACTTTAACCCCTGTGCAACCAGGGAGGCCCCTGACTTAACAATAAATGCCCGTGACAGCAGCAGCAGCTAACATTTATGGAACTCCCATCAAGTGTCAGGCACGGAGCCTCCTGCTTGGTAGAAGACTCATGTCGTCCTGATGAGGCAGTAACTATGATTACCCCATTTTATGGATGAGAAAAACCGAGGCCTAGAGGGTTATTTGCCCCAGGTCACAGTTATATCAGGTGACAGAAGCTGAAAGGTCCATCACAGTGCCAGCTTGGTCATGGGGTGGAAACTGGGGGCAATGTCTATGATGTATTAAGCCTTTGCATATATAAGCATGCGGCTTTTGCTGGGGGAGCAAGAGATTTGCCATTCGGAGAGGGAGGTGTTTCCCTCTTCTTACTGGGGGACTTCTGTGGTCTGAGCCCCTGTAGTGGAACCAGTCCGGGGTGGGGGTGGGGCTTGGACGAGCCACACTAGGACTTTGTTAGCTCTAGTCTGTTTACGTCAAGGAAAGGGCAACAGAGGCCAGGGCCCCAAGAAGGGGCCTGGGGGGGGGGCACTGCTAGTCTGGAGCAATTATGTCGCAAGTGAAAGTCCTTGACTTTCGAAACTCTCCTCTCCCGGGGAAGGAAAAGCATTTAGGAGCTTAGCAGCCTGCACCGGCATTTCCTTCTGAGTGGCTCAGAGGGCCTCGTTGGCTGGGGTGGGAACTAAACAGGTGCAGGCTTGGCTGCGACCAGGCCTTGAAGCCTCGTGGGCATGTTGCATGCCCTCCTCCCCGTCAAGGCCGTGACTGCCCGCAGGCCCAAAGATCTTGTCTTCCGGGCTTCCTGGCACCCTCAAAAGGGGGCCGAGGAACTGGGGATTCTTACTGCCCCCACCCAGCTTGACAGCTGAACTCCACAGAGAGCCAACATTCTGTTTGGACCTGACCTGGTGTACTCAGAGTTGAGTCTTGGCTGAAGCAGGGTGCCCACCTACGCTGGGGTGGAGAAGACAGGGCAGAAGAGAATGAGGGTTCAGAGAAAGCCACGTTCTGCTGGAGAGGGGCTTAGCCTTTCCTGGGGGTGTGCCAGGCCTACAGTGGAGGTTGCTGGTGGGGGCCATGCCCTGCGGGAGCTGTGTGGATTAGGGGGAGCCTGGTAATTGAGGTAAAGGACCCAGTATGGGTGGAGGTGGTATATTTTCAGCAGGGAACTGAACGGGGCTTGCTGAACAGGGTGGGTCTCAGTTGGGCCCGTTTTAGTTAATGGCTAACAGTCTGCCCTTTCCTCCCTCCCTCCTTGTCCCTTTTCCTACTTAAATCCATCACACATTCATCAGCCTGTCATCCCTGCAGTGTGAAGTTTGGGGTGGCATATCTGGAGACTGACAGACTGGAAGATTATACAAGGGGAATTTCCACGTTTAAATGGGGAAAAAAAAGTTTATGTCAGCCAGTTGGGAGGGTAAGAAAAAACAGACCAAAGCAATTGGACTCTGTCATCAGCCTAAGAATCCTGAGGTGAAGGGACTTGGGTCCCCCGAGTGAAGCTATTGCTTCAGCCTCCAAAGGGGTTTCCTGTCGGCCCCATGGCACGAGGCTTGGAGCTTCCAAGACTCAAACCAGAAAGAATGGAAGTTGACGGGTCAAGTCTTGGGGTCTCCTGGAGGCACCACGACTTCGCAGCGCGTTACAGGCGGGGGTGTTGGAGACGCCCAGCGTGATGCTAGCAGTGAGGTGCCAGGTGGCTGCGGCCAGCACTGGCCGGACGCAGCCAGGCGGGCAGACAGCTCTGGCTTCCCTCACGCCTGGCATCCTCATGATGCCCTTGAGCTGGAAGGGGCTTGAAGAAACCATTCTGCCCCCTCTTGGGTCAGGACTACACTTTCACTTCCTGCAAAAGTTCCCTGAATCTTACTAAGCACGTCAGGGAGCAGAGTTGTAACCTAGGGCATAGGCGTCTGTCTGAAAGCTCCCCATATGGGCGACTCCAAAGGGCCCCTTGACTGGGTTCGAAAGCAATGCCCGTTGGCTCTATTTTCAAAAAGGCCCTTAAATTTTAAGACCGAATCATGCCGCAGACATGGCCACTGTGGCAGAAAATGCCCTTTTGGATCTAGTGAGAGGGGCTCCCCAGGGGAGCAGCGAGGGCAATGGCAGACCCCGGCTTGGTCCATGTCACCCCTCCCTGCTCCCTCGGTCCGGGCAGCTCCAGCAGGAGCAGGGGAATATGGGTGGTGCAGCTTCAACAGCACGAGGGGGCAAACGGTGTCTGTTTCCCTCGAGCCAACTCTCATTCCCAGGGACCGGGGGCTTGGCACCCCCGGTTCAGACAGTGGACAGTATCCCCGAGTTTTGAGGGTCAGTTGAATCTCTAGAAAAACCCAGAATCTGTGGCACGTCTCATCCTGCCCACCAAACTCAGCTGAAACTCAGCTCTCGGTTCAGCCTTAGCAGGGAAGAAACTGAAACTGGTTCTTTGGGGGAGTACGGGGTGCAGGGGGCAGGGGGTGGAGAAGCAACCTTGATTACTTGCTCCTGGGCTGGGGCTGGGGGTCTGTCTGCAGGAGGTACTCACCGGCCATGGACCCTGCGATCAGGATGGTCAGTAGCGTCCTCATCAGGGACCAGCTGGAGTCCTCTCCGGGCCTCCACTCCAGCCAGCACAGGGGAGGCTCAGAGGCTTTGGCGCCTTGGTAGGTGGCTCTACCTGGGAACTGGGCGGGGAAAGAGGAGGGGAGGGACCTGAGCAGTGGGGAGCGGGTACAAAGGTGTCTGGACTGCTCTGGAATTCCAGATCCTGGGAGGGACCCAAGGGAGTTCCCTTCCTATTCCTAGGAATAGCAGCAGTGACTGGCTGGCTTGTTTATCTGGTCTAGTGGCTGATTCATCCCAAGTTTCTATAGTGATTTGTCAGGGAGCTAAGAGACAGAAAAGGCAAAAATAACCCTCTGTAGACAGCCTTATCAGATGGCAGCTTGGCACTGAGCATCAGAAGCCTTTTGCTCTAGTAATTCCATTTTCAAGGTTTGCCCTGAGGAAAACATCTGAAGGCATTGGAGGGAGCAGAAAATAGTCCTTGGAGCAAAGAAAAGCTTGGCTCCTTGGTTTTGTCTGATAGGAGAAGACATGGGGTGTCTGCTGCTATCTCCTTGTTTCCCCCTACCCACCCCCCCCCATCTCCAGGGGAGATGGACCTGGTGATAGACGAAGCTGCGGGAGGGGAAGTCCACTTCAGCCTTGAGACTAGGGGGCCTGGCCCTGCAAAAGGTCAGGACAACAGCAGGTCTCAAACTTCAGTGACTCAGCTGGGCTAGCGATGGGGGCAAGTCCATGAACTGACCTTGGACTGGGGGTAACGAAGAGTCAAACTCTCACCCACAGCCATTCTGCCGAGGGCCTGGCTCCACTGGGGTGGGTATTTAGGACACAATTTTCTTTTTCTCCTTGGGCCTCAGAGAAGGTTGAAGGGGCCAAGACACTGGCTGAATGGACATGATCCAAGGGTCCGGCACGCGTCCACCGAGCGGGGCCACAGCAGGAAAGCTGGGTGCTGATGGACCCCTGAGCGCTCACCTTTAGGATGCAGTAGACATGACATCTGGGAGCTACGTTTAGGGTCTTTTTTTTTTTTTTCCCCTGTGTTGTAATTGTTTCTATCGACTCTGAATCTTTGGTAAAGTTTGACAAAGCTGCCAGGTTTGAACTATACTTTGGGTGATGGAGGGATGGCTGTGCCCTTGTTTCCTGCAACTACATTTCCCAGACTCCTTTGTCAGCCACTTCCTGGTGGTTTCCGCCAATGCGAGGCCTTGGGGAGGACGGACAGGTGGTGCTGTCAAGGTGCTTCTAGAAAAATTTTGAACAGCATCTCGGCAGTGGATGGAACACCTTCCTGCTGTGGTGTCTCTCTGGGATGCTTTCTACTTCCTGATCAGACTTTCAGCAGCTCTGCCATTTGTACAACCAACTTTTTTGTACTAATGTCCTTTGACTTGAAGGATTCGAGAGGTTTCTCTGTCCCAGAATGGCCTATCAGGGATGTGGGTGCCTTTGATGGTTTTTGGGACGAGGGGCTATGGGAAGATCAGTTATAAAATGTCAGGAAGGGTCCCTTAGGGGAGGTGAAGTCAGAGTAATCTTGGCTGTCTGTCTGTCTGTCTACATCCTGTGAGATCTATGGAGCATGATGCCTTGGGAACTCAGAAACACCTGGAACCTGAAGGAGGAACTAACCTCCCTATAATTAGGGGGAACTAAGGTTATAGAGGAATGAATGGGAAGGAGACACCTGGATTGCTAAAGAACTTCATTTCTAATAGCAAAAACAACCACAATCAAGAACAGCCTCCATGCCCAATGACGGGTTTGGTCAAACTGATGACAGCAGCGCACCCAGAACCAGGTGGATACAGTTTACCTTTGAAGGATGCTGGAAGGAAACCGTATTTCCTCCAATGAAAAGGAGTGTGGTTAAAACACATGTCTCCATGGTGAGGAAAAGGTAGAAATGGAATTCTCACAGGATGACAGGTGGTTTTATTTTCTTTCCTCACTCATCTGCATTTTCTAAAGCCTTTGTAGAAGATGCTTTGACGCTTGGGGAAAGCAAGGCTCCTGGGCAGGACAGTGAGTGCTGGAGACTGCCAGCCCTGGAAAGCTTCTGCCCTGCCTGTGCCACGCTCCCTCTCGGTCATGACAGCACCAGGCACAACAGTCTCCCCTCATCCCCAGGCTTCTCATCTATGAAAGGGGATCCCCACAGCTCAGCGCTGCTGGGTCCAGCAAGGTGTCTGAGGCAGAGTTATCACGCAGTGAGTCACCTCTCTTTTGAAATGAGGACCCGGGTCCTCCCTGCTGGTGCAACAGGTTCAAGTGCAGCACTGTGAAGCTGTCCACAGCCACTGCAATGTGAGTTCGATTTCCAACCCAGGAGCTGACCCACATGGCGCGGCAGACCTCTCCTGTCTTCCCTGCTGCTCCCCTCAGCAGTGTGCTTTGTTGATCTGCCAGTTCTGCTCCCCACTCTGTCTCTGGGGAATCCTCTCACCTCCCCTGCACCTCTGTCCTGTACCCCAGTTCTTGTATCCATAAATAATTAAATCTTGAAAAAAAAAAAGGAAAGAAAAAAGAAATGAGGACCCAAGGACCAAGTCAGTCCCTTATGCCAAAACTTGGGCTATGTGAGTGTGGGGATGGAGGGAGGGACAACGAGGATAAAGATCAGTGAGTCCTTGGAAGTCTGAGTTGGGAGTAATTTTGGAGGCCAAATTTCAGATCAGGCTTCATGGCTGGGTTGGGGTTTTTTAGGAGGGGAATTCCAGGAGAGGCGCCCAGAAATGGGCATGGGGTGGACTTCAGAGTCCTCCTGGGATCTGGCTTCTAAGATGTCCATTGAGTGCCCAGAGAAACAGAAGCTTAGAGTGGGTATAAACCATGCGAAGAAATGATGGGGCTCGCCTGCCCAGAACTGCCTTGAGGGGGACTCCCGTCCCCCGCTGAATTTTTTCCCACCAGGACAGGATATTCCAAGATATCCCTATCTTGGGACTCCTCCCCACACCCCATCCTTCTCCTCCTGAGCCACTTAAAGAGGCAGTGGGGGTGTGAAGAGACCTGATGATATATAAAAAGCTATCAAGCCTCCATCTCCTGTTTCATCACATGTTGAGGGGTCTCCCTGGCCTGGGTCCTGGCATGGAGCAGTAGCCTTGAGTAATTCATGAGTGGAATTGACTCTCTGATTTAGTTGGATAGTATAGATATAACTTCTGGCTTATTACTATTATTATTTTAATCCCCAACACTCACCCCTTTAGCCCCATTTTACGCACACAGGCTTGAGGTCAAGGACGATGTGAGCAGGTGACTGTTGATTAAGGTCTCTATTGTATAGCAATAACAAGTCACCCTCATTGTTTTTCTGTTTCTTATTCTGCCTCCTTGATCAGTTTCCCTCACTGAGCAGCCCTGAGCCACAGAGCAGCTGCTGGGTGGAGGGAGGATGGTCATCGACATGGGAAGATGGGATTCGGGGTGGCCTCCAGGGGGGCCTCCTGCTGCAAGATGCTCAGACACATCACAGGTCCCCCTGCTACCCAGAAGTGTGTTCCTAAGAAACTTGTGAGCTGGAAGAGGAAAACGGCAATTATTAATATATCATGGAAAACATTTAGCATTCTCAGCAGATCCTCCCCCCCAGAACCCTACACATAAAAACTAAAATGACAGTAACGTAGAGTGAAACAGGAGTGCTAGGATAAATACAGATGAGGTGTC